CTGACCACAGATAAAATTTTAAAATAATCTGCCTTATTACTTGTACACATCATAAAGGAAACCTCTGTCCAAAATTCCAGCTATATCATACAAACCTTGTCCTATCAATTACAAACAGAACAAAAAAGAAATCAGTAGAATTCACAGCTANAGTTAATGGGTTCCAGTACTAACCTTTTACGAAACTTATTCAAGTCTCTAGAAAACTTGGCAAGTTGCTTATATCCACTTTACTTCATAATTTATAAAGATGAAACTACAATGCGAAACTTTTAATTTGCCACGGGCCTCAGATGGTACACTTACGCTACTGCCCCCAACCCCTTCAGAGGGCGAATCTTTCAAATGCCGAAAAAGGTATTTTACTAATTATATGAAAAAGCATTAAAAGTAAGTTTCATGTAAATCTGACCACAAATAAAATTTCGAAATACTCTGCCTTATTACTTGTACACATCATAAAGGAAACCTCTGTCGAAAATTTCAGCTATACCATACAAACCTTGTCTTATCAATTACAAACAGAACAAAAAAGAAATCAGTAGAATTAACAGCTAGGAACAGTTTGAGTGTGATAAAGAAAAAAATTTTATGCAATTCTTCCGATTTTTCTCTTCATAAGAACCTTTCTTGTACATACATACTTAAATGAATATTTTAATAAAAATTACCCGAATTGGTCTAGCCATTCTCGAGTTTTGCGCTTACCAACACAGGGGGGCACTTATTTAAAATATGGATGAAGAAAATATTAAACACTTCTCAGATCTTCATGTAGGACACTTATAAAGTGAATGCTACTAACTCTAAAAATATGTTAAAATAACCATTCAAATAAAACTATTTTAAATACACAAATATATGTAATAAAGACAGTGCTTCGCCATCTGATGAGTATTTACTGCTACTCCCAGAAAGACAGTATTAATCCTCAGATGCGCGTGACAATTTGTCCCACATGTATAATCGGCCTAAAGAAGACAGAAAAAGGAAATACATGGAACTTCGTGAGTGTTGTCTTTCTACACCGTAACCTTATGATATAAATACATTCCACATTCATCAGAAAAGAAATTAATAGAAAATACGTAAAAGGACATGAAAAAAAAGTTAACAGAAACGTTGGTAATTATTTAGAATTGGGGTTCCAGCACAAAACTGCTCCTATTTTTTTTATGGTTTTAGGGTCCTTTTGGGATTCCCAACATTACTTTTAAGTAGGGGGAAACATTTTATTTTTCACATCAATAAAATATTAAGAAGAAGGGACTGTTACCCACCTAACCCAAGATGAGTTGAGGTAGCTTCTGTTGTTAGGGGGGTAGGTTAGATTAATATTTTTGTTTATAAGTAATTATTAAAATTGAAAAAAAAAATAAAAAATAAAAACATAAAAACAATTTTTAGAGCAATTTTGTGCTGAAGCCTAAATTTCTGTCTAAACCGAAGAAGCTTCTAAAAACCGAGTAGAGGCAGTGTATCATCATCTGGTGGGTATATGTTGCTACTGAAATATTAACGTTTCAGGCGTTAGACAAGACCTTATTAAAATATTCCAACTTGTACAAGCGAATCGATGACGCAGCTTTCATACTAAAACAGATAACCATTTATTTAATCCTTTTCTACTCATCAATATTTAATTGATAGTTACATTGACAACTGTGTGGCTATCTGTACCCGGCCTGTTTCTAGTTAGGATCACTAAGTCCGCAACAGATTAAGTCAACCAGAAAAATTTTGAGACATATTACCCTTAATTGTACAGTAGTACCATTGTAGTAGTAAAAAGGAATAACTAAATTGATATGATTATTACAGCAGCTTTTTTTGCACATATAAATTATTCATGATACAATTAATAAGCTATTATTAATTGGATACTTTGATAATATATTTTGATAAATCATACAACCACATGGGGAACAAAATTTTACCATTTCTTAATTATTATATGCAATATTATTAAAAACGACAACCAAATCTATTGGCAGTAATATTCCATTTAACACTTCAACAACGACGCCCAAATATAAATATTCCAGGAAAACGTGTTTTTCTCATATTACCGTAATGTTTTTTTTGTCTCTGTGGTGTCTGTAGGTACAGTACCGCTTGCCATGTTGTTTTCAAATACGTATAGACTTAGTATAGGTAGTCGTGTAGAAGCCCCGCCTGTCATCGTCAATCCTACTTACTAATACATGCTAATATACATGTAAGAGAATCTTACAATGGTCGGTAAAGTTGTACGTGTTTATATTTTGTTTTATGTTAACGATAAGTAGATAGTTGCTTGGTATCAGCTATTATCGTAGAAGTATTTTACATGGTGGCAACTCATACGATACAAATAATTAAGAAGCATGCTATTCGAGTTCCTTCTTTAAAATATTACTAATAGTAAGTATGTAAATAAAGCTGCAATATTGTTTCTTGTTTAAATATTTAAGTCGTTATCAATATACTCCTTTTCATCTAAAAA